CCCCCCCGAACTTGAAAATATTTAGCTCTTAAAATTACTGCAAATAATACATACCATATACTGTATTAGATACTGTTTATATACTATATAATTGCTTTCTTGAATTAATAATTTTCATAGGAAAATAAAACATACTTTTCAATTTGAGCACAATTTTATTTACAAAGCAGTGTCTAGTAATTAATCAACCGTTACGGCTAGCTAAATCCAGATTTTACCTTAGCTGCACTTTAAAGAAAAATTACACCTTTTTGGAGGTATGTAGTTAAAAGCTATGGTTTTTATATTAACTGTAATGAATGTTTTATTGAAACAATAGGTCATTTTTTGGTCTATATATATAATCCTAATGCTCCTGCAAGTCATAGCAAACAAAAGAATTATAACATGTAATATAAAGGGCCTAATACACATATTACAAGGGGAAAAAAAGGATCTTTAAGTTTTGCTGAAATAGTTCCTGTATACTTTTCTATTATGCACAGCCAGAGATGGAACACTAACTTTTATGCTTCAGCAATTTTTTTGTTCAGCTTTTTGTGTTCTGACCTAAAATCACGTCCTCAACTTTTACATATGTGTGGCATTGCTTTTATATTTCAGGATGGTGACACTGCAGTAGGATTCATGAGCTTATGTTCTCAAGTAAATGTTTCCTTGTTTCAAGAGTGTTTTGACTTAGGGCCTTTCCATGGACTCTGTAAACCACATCCTGAAGATATTCTCAAAATGCCACAGAAGCCAAGCATTCAAGAAGGTACCTATATTCTAAAATGCTAGATAGATTCAAGGTGCATTTATTTCTAGCTTCTGAGTAGGTTTTGCAAAAGTTTGGAAGAGAATATAGGTTTACTAGCAAGAAAACACAAATTAATGTATCTGGTTTGGAGATGGATGTCTGGTGTTTTTTAATTCGTGAGAGAAATTTTGATAGCCCTGGTTTCTGACTCAGAAGTGACTGTTGTTTGTGGGGAGCTGGTTTATACCAAGTATGGGATAAACCTAGGTTTCAAGTTTTGGAAAGCTAAAGCATCAAAAATCATCAATTATATTTTTTATCAGTTAGCTACAGTTGTACTATTAATTGAAGACTTAATTTTGAAATCTGGTTCTAATGTCTGTCAGTAGCTAAGCAGCTGGTTAACTGTGGCTATTTTGTTGTCCCATTGACTTGTGTCATCTTACTTCCTTGTGGTCCAACTTCTGCTCTCTTTGCTTATTGTTTGCAGTATTCTAGGTTACAAGATTTTGGGAGATCAGGGACTGTCTCTTCATTGTATTTTTATATTGGGCATGCTACAACAATGCATCTACAAGCCACCTTATTGCAAATGATAAAAAACAGTAACATGAATATGTCACCTGTTTGTAGAACAGAAGTGTCATGTAAATGATTTACAGTTGTCATCTTTATTTTTCAGTGTCAAAGGGCTTTTTGTGCAGAAGGGCAACATTTTGCTATCTACGAATTATCAGTAATAGAATTAAAAAAAACCCCACCATTAGGTTGTTACGTATCTGCTTGTCTGAACACAAAGCAGCAGGGAAAAAAGGCAACTAGGGAGCTACAGAGCAGTCACCAGCTGGTATCTTGGAAAGAAAAAAAAAGTCTTATAGCTGCTCCTATGGACTTCCCCTCCCCTGCAGAGAAGCATCTTGCAAATAAGCCAGCTATCTCCTCCTGTATCATTCTATGCTCCTGGAGCTTCAGGAGTATTATTTCCAAATAGGTGACATATATGTAGACACATAAATGAGACTGAGGGAGGAAGAAAGATCACTTGTAATAGTCTCTTCTGAAAACTAGTTGGAACACAGTCCTGGGCAGTCTGTTCTAGGTGACCCTGCTTGAGCAGAGGGCTTGGACAAGATGACCTCCAGTGGTCCCTTCCAACCTCAACCATTCTGTGACTGTTACCTGGTTCTGGTCAGACCCTTAGACACTTGTGTGTGCTTTCCTTGTCCAGGGACTGCAAGCTGTAAGCCTGTATTTCGTGGCAAATTCTGTGCTGCTGAGCCTTTTAGTGAGTATGGTTATAGGTTTTAACAATACAGCTGTTACATGTTTTTTTTAACATTTAGGAAATCTATGAGACCTGTTCTAAATGTGAAAACTTAGAATAAACAACTGTTCTTTTCAGGTCCTTATATGACTCTAGCATCTGAGTGCTTTTCAGAAATCTATTAAGCACCATGGTTAGCAGTCTCACGTGTTTATCTCTTCTTTTTCCTCTCCATTTAAAAACTATGTTATTTTTGATGGTTGATACTAGTTCGCAATCCTGTGCGTTTCCTTCAAGTAACGTTTTTACAAAGTAGTAGTATCCCTGCGTTTGGCATGACAAGGGCAGCTCTGGGGAAAGAGAGAATTATTTGTAGACTCTTTCAGATAGCTTGAGCACAAATCGCTGATGGTCTCAAAGATAGACACCTGAGAAGGAACTTGAGTATCATAAACTAAGAGCCTGACTCTGATACTATTCCTAGAGAGAAAAAGCCACTAGAAATTTAATAGTAAAATTAGAGTTAGCTCATGGCTAGACACTGCTCAGGAATATTAATTCTGTTATCACTGAATAATAATTAAAATTATTGTTGTAGCTTGCACATTTTAGAATATAAACAAACAATTACAGCACTTTGAAGTGTTGGTTGTCCTGAAACATTGTAAGTTGTTGTTTATACCTGCTCAGTATGGCCAAAAAGAGAGCGATGAAACTAAAGGCTGTGGTAGTTGAATTTCAGAGAAAGGAAAAAGAAAGAGGGGAAAAAAATCAAATTTGTACTATTATTACTCTAATTTCTAATACCAGTTCAATAAGACATTAACTTGTCACAAGTTACAGAAGTTTATTATGGTTTATTGAAAATATATGCTTTATATGATAGATATTTGATAAACAGCTTTTCTTTTTACTGCTTGCTACACATTTGACTTACGACTATAAACAAAAAGTCCATATTTTTCGAACAGTTTGAATGAAAAGCCCTTTCCCTCTGATGATTCGGGTTTCATTATTGCATGAGATGTGACTCAAAATTCATTTCAGTATTCATTCATGAAAACTTCCAGGAAAAGCAGTAATGTTTGTTTGGTTTTGTTTTGTTTTTTTTAATTAAGAAAGAAAAGAAAAAAGCCCACTGTTTTAATAAAGAAGTTTACAGCAAAAAAAACCCCAACCAACTCATAAGCACAGTTCCCCTCCTCTCTGACTTTTTCATTTTATTAAAAATGTAACTTGGAAAGGGTATTATCTTGTTTGGGATTTTTGGTGATGTTTTTGGGGGGTTTTTTTGGTAAATGAAGAGCCCCCATAAGAGTTGCATCACAGTAGTCCATTGTTAAGCCTTTCTAATATAATGGCCGACCTATATCCTTGGAATTTATTATAGTGTCAGTAACATACAGTTTATATTTGATTATATTACATAACACATTGTTGTGGTTTAACCCGGCAGGCAGCTAAACACCACACAGCTGTTCGCTCACTCCTCCCCGCAGTGGGATGGGGAAGAGAATAGGAAAAAAAGCAGAATTCGTGGGTTGAGATAAAGACAGTTTAATAGGACAGAAAAGGAAGGGAAAATAATAATAGTAAAAATGATAAAAGAATATACAAAATAAGTGATGCACAATGCAGTTGCTCACCACCCGCTGATGGATGCCCAGCCGGTTCCCGAGCAGCGGTCGCCACCCCCCCAGCCAACTCCCCCAGTTTATACATGTCATGATGTCATATGGTATGGAATATCCCTTTGGCCAGTTCGGGTCAGCTGTCCTGGCTGCGGTCCCTCCCAGTTTCTCGCTGGCAGGGCAGGAGAAGCTGAAAAGTCCTTGACTAGCGTAAGCCCTGCTTAGCAACAACCCAAACATCAGTGTGTTATCCATGTTATTCTCATGCTAAATCCAAAACGCAGCACTATACCAGCTACTAGGAAGAAAATTAACTCTATCCCAGCCGAAACCAGGACACACATGCATGACTATATGAATGCTGTTTTAACAGTTGCACCATTTCTGCAGGTTACTGTATTGGAAATTTGCTGCCAAATTGTCCCTTGATGTGAAGGCAGTGAAGGTTCACTAGACATCTTGCATCAATAGAGGATGTGGACTTTCTTTTAATGAATTCGAAGGCTGTGAATTTAAAATGCAAGCTGCATTCCTTTGTAGAGTAATTTTATGTTCCAACATAAAAAAAAACCCAAACATAATAAGAATATTTTTTCAAGCTCTTTAGCTTATAAGTAGAGACCACAGGTTGATACTATTTTTCCTTTCAAAATGTAATGCTGAATAATAGTTAAAGAGTGTACAAAAAATCTGTCTTTAACACAATATTGATATGCCACTTATGTTTTGGGGTAATTACAGTAATTTGGTTGTTACTCTATATGGTGTCATGAATTAGTTGCTAGAAAACATTATGATGCAGTGGGAATGATTCAAGGGCTTTTCATCAGGCTTCATGGTGAACTGGCTTCTTGATCCTGCTGACTGTTACGTCCGCTAACAACCCAGCAATCACTGAATTATTTTAATTTTTTTTGTTCATGTTTTTACTTCATTTAGTGCAACAATATTTATATTCTTCCCAGTCACTTGTGTACAGCATATATGTAAACAGTGGTGCAGCTACATTTGACAATAGTGGATGGAGGAGCCATTAAGGGGGTTCTTTTTAGTCTAAAGTCAGAACAACATATCAATATTTACATGACAACAAGAGACTTGTATTAATGAACTTCTGACACCTGCAAGGCTGTATATAATGAGAAATGTAGCTGCGTTAATCAAGACTACATTTGATCATTTCTGTGAAGTCTCACATCTGTGATACCCCTGGAGGAACCATGATTTCTAACCCCCGTGTTTCTTCTTGCATCTGCATTCTTTTCTACTAACAGGGAAACAGATTTTCAGATAACAGATTTCTAAAAATACTTTTGGCTAAATTATTTTAAACCTTTGAGGTTTTGTTTTTGTTGGTTTTTTTTTTTTTTTTTTTTTAAAAAAGCTCATTACTGTGTGAAGAAATGGTTATGTCGGTGAATGTAGCTTAGATGGATTTCCCAAGGTAAAGTTCAGAGAGAGGAGTGAAGAATTCTGTTGTGCTGGGTTTTCTGAAGTTTTTTTTTCTTCCTCCTGGAGCTCAGAAACTTTGACTGCCCTGTGTTACTGGAGCTTTCAAATGCAAGGGCGTCCTGGCCTGACGTGTTTTCTGCAGCAGCGATATCTACACCTCAAGAGTTTATTAGTTAAAACTTATTTTCAGACTTTATTTTTAAATATAAAACCGAACTGTGAACATATCTGTAAAATTAGGGAGGTGACAATTTAAGGAATGGCAGAACTATTGAAGATGTGTTCAGGGGCTGAAAATACAGCAGCTGACACTTTGCTTTAGTAATTTTGTTGGTTATTTGGAATAATATGTAGGATTCACTAGTATTTCAACGTTTCTTTTTCAAGTTGATGATTAAAACAATTTTGGTCCATAACATTGACTTTAAATGTGCATTATGATGCATTATCAGATGATCTCTCGTTCTGAATACTCTCACCTTCCATTGACTTTAAAGAAAATAATCCATCACCATACAGATTTGGGATCTGCTTTCCTGAAAGCGCGTAACATCTGGAATGGCGATTGTCTGCTGTCTAGCAAGCATCATGATGTTAGAAAAGTTCATAGTCGGTTCTGTCAGTCATGTCAGGTATCAGTGAGTTCTATAGAGCTGTTGTGTGTTGCTGTGTAAAACTGCTAGGATTTGTCTTAAGATAATGGTTAAGTAATTGAAATCAAACATAATGCATCATATATGTTCCAAATTGGCTTTGGACATTTTTATTGTGGTTTCTTAATATTTCAAATATCCACTCTGGATTTGGCCCTGGCCAGGGGATTGAAAAAAAAAATGTATAGTGATATTTAAATAAACTCCCTAACATATATGCTTGCTTGGCTTAAGCACTTGACCAGAGATGCTGTATATATATGCTGTGTGTGTATATGTATATATAACAAAGTATATATAAAGCATGGTATATGCATGTATACCATGGCAGTCAATGTTTAAATATTGATTCATCAGATGGCTACAAGTAATTTCATCCTATCACCTTGGTTGTGTGTTTGCCCACAAAAATATTACTCAGGTTGGAATGAACTAGACTAGAAGGTTACCATGACGTTACTGAGGACGGTAGGATGATCTGTCATGCAGAGATCAGAGGAAGAGGAGGAAATAGACAAACAAAGATTGATGAAAAAGTAACCACCTTTTAGAAGTAGTAAAACGGGGTTTAGAGGTTTAACAACTGAGAAGGAAATTTAAATCCCTGTTTCTTGTTCCTGCTTGCGCCAATAAGTAAGGGTTCTGGCTTGACTAGGATGTATTCTGAATTTCAGTTCTGTTAGGAGAACTAATCTGAGAATCAAGAGCCCTTGCTTATGATCATCAGGAAACAAGTTAGCAACAGGCGCAGGGTTTAAGATACCAGTCAATATACTAATGACTCATTTTTTTTTTTCTTCAGATAGGGTAAAAATTTATTACATATAATACACAAGTTAGGAATTGCTTCCAAACTGTGTCTTGTTCAATTCTTTTATTTTATAACCAATTCTCTGATTTTTTCCTTGAGATGAAATAGACTAAGGAAGTTCTAGCCAAGTAACTATAGGAGGGTCTATTTTAACTGTGGTTGTTAAAAATAAATAAAATAAACCTTTCAGTAGAGGTAGTCTGGGACACTCTTTAGTTATTGCTGTGATTCTGAGGGTTAAGCTCGCATTTTTAAGCCTGATGCATCTACTCTTTTCCTTACTCAGATGAAGATAAAAGCAACCAAACAAGTCAAGAAACAGAGTCTGTTTCATCTCGAAACTTTGAACATATTCATGATCAGGATGCGGCTGTGCAGGTAATACCACTGTACACAACAATGCTGATAACTTTAAAAGCTAATTTGAAGCAAAGGTTACTAGGACAAGCAATGCTTATAATTTCCATTCCTGCACTGTCCTCTGCATGGACCCATGCTTATATCTGCTGTTGTGCATAGATCAGAAGCTATTCTAGCTAGGATCTGAATGGAAGTGGTTATAGTTATTAACTGGATGAGTTTTCCCATCCAGTTCCACATGAACAGCCAGACAGCACAGGGGTGGGAATAAAGTGGCACTGAGAGGAGAAAAAGGATGAGGGCCTGTTGGTGCAGGTCTGCTGCCGAGTAAAGGCATGTGGAAGCACAGCTTCGAGTGGGTTCCTCTGCACATGTGGAGAGAGCATTCCTGTAACAGACAGACCAAGAGTCGTCTTACTCTGAAGATCTGCGAGTCCTGAGATTTTGACTTGAGTGTGTTAGTGAGCTAAAAATCTGCTACTGACGGAAAGCTACCAAAGCTGAAAAGCAGCAATGTAGCTTCAGTTTTCCCCTGTAATTTCTAAAAGTTAAAGGGCACATGTTCTATCTGTGCCTCTTCTGTTGAGTGAAGCTCGTCTTGATAAAAGGAGCATTACTATGAAATGTGTTGGTGCAGCATAAATCAGCAGAGAATTTATCCTGAGAAACTTTAAACAGTTGCATCTGTCTCTAGTCTCTCAGTACTGTATCAAAGCTACTCTGGTTTTCCTCCCATTATTGTTCATTTCCATTTCCACAATATTCTCTGCACTGATCCCATTTTCTTTAACATAACATGCTTTTAACTTCCGTATCTTTTCAATATGCATCTGAAAACAAAATTTTTATATAGAAACATTTATGAAAAATATTTTATTGCCTCACAAAGGGATTCTAATGATAAATATTAGTTTTTGAATATGTTGCTCTTCAGCAAGAATGTATGTATTTTTAAAGGTCACTTTTATCTAGTGTTTCAGAAACAGGTAGATATCACATTAAAAATACCTCCTTGAACTTCTGTATTTGTCAAAATGTGATGAGTAAAAAGTACGTCCCTGTGTGTCTGCTTGGAATGTTATAAGGTAGGAATGATGCAAGACCTTTTAATTAAAAAATTAAAATATTTTCTGAAGTGTTATAAGTGATCATTTGTCTATTATTATTGCAGAAAGATGGGGCCATTACCATTTCCCATACTGAACTGCTGTTAGATAATGTCAGAGGCAAAGATTTCAAAGCCTCAGCAACACCCCTCCTTGAGACTGAAGAAAAAGGTGCTTTTCATGCAGTGTACAGAGGAGCTTCAAATGCTTTCTGTATCCGTCTGTTTTGTATTGATGAGAAGTATGAAATGAGGTAAGTATGGATGAATAGTTACTGCTTTCCTAATCTTAATAACAACTGTCAATGTTACATTTTTAGGGCAAATCTGAAAGTGACAACATCTGCTGTAGTTAGGTTGGATTTTTTCTGACCTCTCTTTCCATTTTTTTTTTTTGTTTACCTTCACTAATAACTTACTGAAATTTTCAGCGTCCAGCTGCAGCTTCCCATCTTTGGTAGGACTGTGTGGACAAAAAGTTAAGAATTTATTTTTGTTGGAAAACTGCTAGTTGAAATTGTGGAAGGCGGCCATTTCTTTCTCTGAAGAAACATTAATTCTAAAGCTGACTATGAAAAGCGCTAGATGTTACAGTACTGCTTATCTCTGCTCATGGGGCAATAAAGCTGTTTTTAACTCTGCAGTTAAATGTTCTCATTTCTAAACACTCAGTCTCCCATCACTGAGAGAATTGATCCAATTTTCTAATATCCACTGCAGTAGGGGGGTGACAAAGGCTTTTTATCTTAAGATGATTGTTTCTGCTGACCTTGAACTCTTAGATCCTGGTGGAGTAGAATATATCTATAAATGTGGTGTAGACATTTTTCTCCGAAATTTCTCTGCACCCTTGAAGAGAGAACCTATACTCAACCACATCAGCAAAAGCCTCTCCAGGAACATTGGCCCGTTCTGATTATAAATGAGCCCTGCTCTTGTTTATAGATCCTAGAAAGAATGATAAAACATGTAGATACTTACAAAAAGTAGACAGAGGCTGAGCACACCCAAGATCTTCCACACTTTAAAATACATGTAATTTCTAGAGACACAAGGCATCAGTAGCAAGGACTTTATAGATGATGAGTTTGACAACTGTAGTACCATTTGAAAAAACATCTTTCTACTTGTAGTAGTCATTGTGACTGACAAGGACTGAACTCACCTGGCTTAAAGGAAATTTAGGAATAAACTTGATTAAGAACAAAAATCAGAACTCCTTGAAAACTAATTCTATTTATTAAGCTGTTTCTTGATTTAAGGAGGGGGCCTACCCAAAGGGATTAAACAGTGTGAATCTGCTACAAATGCAAATATCCTAAGTTACCAAAGCAAAGCAAACACATAGCCTTCTTGGTACATATTTACCGAGTAATATAGCTCGAATTCATTAGGAAGAGAGAGAAATGCAGTGCTAGAAGTCTGTGGCGTACTTAGAAACACTGATCAACGTACATATGATAGAACAATCACACTGCAGAGAGTCCATTCCAGAATAGTTAATTTATGGACAATCTAGTCTAAAATAAAACTCAAGCAAGATAATTATTCCAGAACAAAATAACTTTATTTTAAAATAATACTGAGGTGAGGGACTTGCTCAGGAATGACTCCATCATACTGAAATAGCAGTTCAAAGCAGTGATCTGTAACTATGTTGGGAAAATTACCTCTCTGTAGACTAGTTGAGTTCTCAGCTCATAGCATCCTGCTTAGGATAAGGGTCTGTCACTTTTTTGCCCTCTTCTGGCATGCTACCCTTCATATGCACCATTGTTGTTTCTGTTCCAAGATATGTTCCAGTGTTTATCGTTGAACACTGCAGTCCCATTCTTTTTTCCCTGGAGACATCTCTGGAACAGTTTGGATTCCAAGATGGGTATCTGTGGAGAAGATAGCATTCCGTTCTGAAGGCTTCTCCTAAGATTAACACTCAGCAAGATCCTCTTCTGAGAGCTGAGGAATCTGTAGATCTTGGTGTTTTCAAATATTTTGTTTGTATGCTTCCTTAGCATGCATTTGCTTGATCCACCTGTTTGTAAAAGAAACATTAGAAAAGCGATATGTTTGAAAGGATGGCATGAGGTAATCCTGACTGTATCTCAGAATGTTGTCCTGAAGGAGTTACTGCTGACCCTGCACAGCATGGGTCCAGAAATAGTAGGTTGGTTGAAGTGTAGGTATGATTGCATCTTAGCCCTCAAGGGAAGTTTACTACTGGGGAATTTGTGTTACCTGGTAAAGTTGCTAAATGTTTCCATCTTTTAAATCTAGAGCTGTTATGTGGCTTGTTAGTGCATTGAGAGTGAAATGCGAAGGAACTAAATTGCTAGTTTATCTGCAGATATTTGATATCTTTTTAAGCCCCCTGAAAAATCTCCTACCTCCGTTCTTGTGTTCCTTGCTGCCAGGAAGGTACTGGATACTAGAGAATAGAAAACTACATCGCAATGGCATTTTCCTTTACTGTATTTAGCTATTCTATTAACTAGTCATAATTATGTATCATGTAGGTGAATATATAATACCCCAATCCAGATCTGTATTTATAGCTTTTTTAAAGTTTTCATTCAATCATAGATATTTTAATTAGAAATTATTTCCCTTTTCATTCAGTAATATTATTGGTGAAGTAATTAAAGGGAACTTAATTACAGGTCTGGAGGGAGGAGGGTATTTTTAGGTAATATGTATCTGTATTGAATTTCTTCAAAGGACACATTTTGTACAGTGGAAAAATATTTTATAAAGCTTCAGCATAACTTTATTTTGATGGGTTTAGAGCTCTTTGATATCCTTACACGTAGGAGAAACAGGAAGAATTTGTTAAATTTCTCATGTCTTTTTAAACTCAAATGTCACATTTCATTGTCACCATGGAAAAGAGAGTGGAATTACTTTAAAGCAGTAGGTGAGAAGTGGAAAGAAGTAAAGTGTTCAGAAACAATTTCAAAGTATTGATGTTCCGTTAGTCTGATAAAGTACATTGGATAGGTTTACCAAGTGGATAGTGACAGAACTCTTGGTACTGGATGAAAATATAGTGGAACATAGCAACAACTGTTTGTAACCTCAATTAACGTTTACTATATACTATGCTGCTCTGACAGTCCATGAATGACTTCTGAAAAATGTTGGAGTCAACAACATGAGAGTCCATTTTTTTTCCTTTCAGTGAAGAGTCTAATGTTTTGATATTATTTCAAGCATTCAAGGTTTATTCTTGTTAATAGTGATACTTTAAGCACTAAAGTCAACAACTGATGTGCAGCATGCAACATCTGCAATTGATTAATGGTGAACTAGCAGGACTATCTGATTAGCACTGTGAATAAATGTTCCTTGCACTTATGGGGATGTAAATATCAAAATGTATAGGATCTGTCTGATATGCACTTTATTTAACAGTGTTTACTCTTGGTTGCAGATCGCTGGATTTTTTGCGTTACGTTTTCAAGCTTTTTCCAGTACGTATAATTAAATTTTTAAAGTTTGTATGCATGATGGGATGGTAGGCATAGTAGGAGGATGGCAGTCCTCAGCCAGAGTATTTAGATATGATGCTCGAGTAAGTCAGTGACTCACAGGAGTATGCTATGGCTAGTTACCCTGGGCTGAGTTGCCCTGAGGAGTTTGACTCCTCTCCTTGGCTGCTTTTGGACTTTATGTATTGCGTACGTAAGTCCTTTGTTTACGTTCCATAGGGACTTTTCTGAGATGCAGATTTAGAAAGCAAATGTTTCAAACTCCTTAAAATCATGTATAGATCCAGACTGTACCAAAATCAAAAATAAAATCAGGGAAAATATGTTAAAGGAGGAAGAGTTTTAAAGCCTAGAAAATAGCAGTATTAAGGAAATCCATAGTATTTACCCATAGCCTAAACAGTGGCACTGAAGGTTTATGTTTAGGGCAAAGCTAATGTGTGGCAAATAAGGGTGTGAATTTACAGTACAGTAGCTATTTCACACTAACGCCCTGTGTGATCAATCTTTATCTGAGATGACAAAGTCCATGGTCTGAGACATTCTTAATGCACACTGTAGTGTGTTGTAAATTCACACTACAAATTACTGCATCCTTTAGAGACAGGTCCTGGTGACCAGAGATACAGATTTGGCCCTAAATATCAGCATGTTCAAAAATGCTGCTTACACCGAAGAAAGTTCCCAGAGAAAGTGAACACAGAAAACATTTCAAATCTCTTAAGTAATTTACATGTCCAACAATGCACCTGTCACTCCTTGAAACAAAATGTCACCAGGTGTTGTAAGAAAAATTAATCACTTAGTGTGCTTAAAGAGAAGAGGAGTGAGATTCAAATAATATCTTTCTACTGAAAAGATGCCATAGAATAATCAGCCAGAGTAAACTAATCAAACATCTTCCAGATCTGTGCTACTTGGAGACTCTCGGCATGTATCATGCTGCATGAAGCATCTTTCTGAATTGTCAGAGTTCTCCAACATCCCTGTGTGCAGTGAGATTATCTTAAACCATGTATTCAATAAAAAGGGATGGGAGAGACTCTGGTGGAAGGGAGTGTTTGAACAGTTTGAATGGATAAAGTTATTTGTGGAGTGCAGTTTTATCTCCAGAGGATGCTTTCTTTCATCTGAGAGCATTCAGCAGAGATTCCTGCATTCCTTTGCACCTCTGCAGTCTTTACAGCACAGGTCTCTGAACAATTACACTGACTGCCAATACAGTGTGTCTTTTATGCATATGCATCCTGTAGTGCATGCATGCCAGCAGTGCCAAATTTGGGACAAGCTGGACATCACTGCATGTATACAAACTTGCATTCATCAGGTCTACTGTGCGTGCAGTGCAAAGTCAATCTGTGCGTACACACTGGCTGTTTGTTCAGGATTTTAGGACGTGCTGCTCTAGTGGTCTCGCTTGTCTACAAAGGTGCAAAAGATCCCAGACAGATATATATTGTCCTAAAATTTCACTATAGAAGAATAGTAAGGCAGAAAAGAGGAACTTTTAAGGGAAAATGTTAGCCCTAAACGTGTGGGCATAGAGATAATGTTCCCACTAGGCAGTTGAACTATGTGATCATTGTAGGTCCCTTCCAACTGAAATACTCTATTCTACTGAGGAAGAAAAAAGGGGGGGTGGAAAAAAAGGACTGCTAGGGAATATCAGGATATTAACCAATAAGCTATGGGAGCTAAAAGACCCGTGTCTGTGAGCCAACTTAATGTTGAGCTCATCAGTTCCTTTGTGCTGCCCAGGCATCAAGCCATCTAGGTAGAGCAGTACTTGGCGAGTACGTACCTTGTAAGGACTGCATTCAGTTTGTTTTCTTTCTGTCCCCTCTAGCCAGAAGCTTTTGTGAAAAGCTTACATTGAGATCACCAAGAACCTTTATTGTCTGCAAATCTTTTTCAGAGCAAAGACTTCTGTGTCATCCTCGTGCCACATCATGTACCGGAGTTCCACCTGATCCAGAGTTTTGTTCGAGTTGTCCCTTTCTGTACTTCCAAACTTGGTCACGAGCTTTATGTGTTCCACCGTGCGGGATTGCTCAAGTGAGTTATGTGCCTTGTGACAACAAATGATGTACTCTGAGCTATTTTTATGGAATATACTTGCATCATCCAACCTAGCACCAGATGGGTATTCCTTTGCTATCTCAGACCAAGCTGGTATTCTGCATGGTACAGCACATCATCTTGCAAAAATGGTAGCTTGAGGCCCCAAAACAGTATAGTTGAATAGCACAGGACTGTGCCTGGAGCAGTTAGGAGCAGAGCTAAATAACTTAGTCTTTAGCAGTGTCACTGCAGCTGTCTTGCTTCCCATTCTGGAGTGAATCCTAAGCCTACTCTGATGTATCTCCACACAGCACTATACTAGACAGTGTAGAAATAGCCTTATATTTTCAGTGAAATAAAGTAGTTAGTGACATGATTTTTAATGAAGCAAAAAATGATATAATTAAAAATGTAAAAGCAACCAGTCTTCTGACTGCCAGCATTTATATATAGCTTCCTTTAAGTAAAAACAAAAAGTGCAATGAGAAGACTAATTTAAAATTTGTATATACAGTACTAACTTAATGAAGATGAACATTGGTACAGACAAGTAGCTTCTTCAAGTTACCTCGTTGTGGACCAAGGTCAATAGAGAAACATGGTGCAGCGTTTGGCCCTTTGGACTTGCGTCAGGTTGCATAACATTGATACTTGAAAGCGTGGTGTAGATTTAATTCTTGGAAACATGGTATAACTCTCTTAAGAGAAATTTCTGAAACATGCAGAACACAGCAGTAACCTCATTGTTGAGTATCTGTTTTATATAATTTCTCTCTTATTTTTTGTGTTGAATCATTTATTTCATACCTTTCAATTTCTGTGATACTTCGAAAGCTTCTGTAGTCTGAAATAGTGGTGAACTGGGACACAAAACCTCTCTTGCTATGACTTCTGTTATGTGGTATGAGTTTTCCAATGCTTTGTTTGCATAACAAGCCTATACTGGCCCAAATACCAATCTTAAACTGTGGCACAGTTGGAGATTTTCTTTTTTTTCTTTTTTTTTTTTTGGTCTTAATGTAGCTAAACACTGCGTGGTTTCAGAGAAATACTTCTGGTTTAATTGCATACTTAATCACCTTTGATGGTATACAAATAGCTCATGCAGGAATTGGCCAGCTACTCTTGGACCTATGCAGCAGCTTTTTACCATGGGAGGAAATTGGGCTTCTGCGTACTATGTAGGAATCCAGCTGGCTGAAGAGAATGCCACTGGAGTAATTCCTGTTAATCTCAGTCACAGCTGTTCAGTAATCCACCAGTAGGATTGGTAGTCATACATCCTCTTGTGATTTTGGTCAAAATTAAACTTACCAACGTTTTTTTTAAAAAAAAAAAATCAAACCTTACAATTCTGATTAAATTGTGCGTATTCCAAATGATACCAGCCCTTCCGTGAAAACAGAATAGGGTCATTAGGAGCCTTTTCCAAACCCCCCTGCAGCTGTGCAGGAAAGTAAGGAAAAACAGCCTTTCATTGAGGTTCAGGATCAGAAAAGCTATGGAAGAAACCAGATGAAGCTTTTGGAAAGTTTCTGAAGAACAAAAAACAGCAGATACTCTCTTAGATAAAACCAAAATATGAAAGAGTAAAAGATCAATATATTGTACTTGCATCAAGGGCTTTCGAAAGGCATGTGAGTGAAAAGGAAGTCACAGAAAATGGATTAAAAGAAAAAAGGGGTAAGAAGATGGGAATATGAAGACATGAAAGGGCAAAATCAGAAGAGGCACAGGCACAAAATGAGATACTGATTAATAAAGGTTGTAAAAGGAATAAGAAAAAGTGATAAGTACACAAAAAGCAAGAGTGCAGCAAATGGAAGTATAGGTCTGCTACTTAACAGTTAAGGAGAAAAAATAACAGATGACAAGGCACGGGCTGAAATGCTTAATGGATACTTTCCCTCAATTTTCACTAAAAAGCATAATAATAATAATAATAGCGTCCTGGTCTCTGAGCAGTCGAAGGAATTGGGCATCTAGAATGAGTTAATTCATTACTGGAAGAGAAATGAGCACAAACCTTGGATAGTCCTTCCTACTATTTCATACTCACAATGGATCTGGTGGTTTTGTTTATTTATTTGTTTTTTAAAAAATGGTTTCAATTTTTTGCATGTTCTGTTTTTCCTCATATTAAAAATGTAGTTCATTATTGGCACATACAATTCTTTGAAATTAAGTTGTAATTCAGTCCCTTGAACAGCATTCTGTAAGTCTTTATTATATGAGCCTTGTTTAACCAGGAATGGTCGATGCCTTTAACAGACAGCATGAGAGAGTTCCTCAGCTGCTGTAAACTGTGAAGTAAATTTTTCTTCATAATTAGTGGGTGGGAAGATGTTTTATAACAGTGTGTAAACTAGATAAGTGCCAGGATATTCCTGTCTGACATGTTGCTGACATGTTGCTGGTTGTATATATTGCACAGAAATTTTTATACCATGTCACTGTTGTGTGATTACTAATTGGCAATCTTATGTTTATCAGAAGCATTGTATTCATGTAAGTTTATCCTCATGTATAACTATTTGAAGAACCAAGGCCTAACACAAATGCTAGTAATTTGTTCTTTTTGAAGAAATCGATGTTACTGCCTTTCTTTTGTACCATATCCAAGGATGACAGTTGTCTCTCTTTTATTTATTCTCTCTCTCCTTTTTTCTTTTTTCTTATCTTTGTTTCTTTTCTTTCTTTTTTCCCACGTGTATCAGTGTGTAGTTAGGGATTCTACTTTGATTTTAAAAGATTCCTTGCCTCCTTTCTCTGCTGGCTCTTACTCCCATGAAAATTAGGTGATACCTGTGGTTATAGCTAGTCATTGCTTTGTGGGATTGGGCAGTAGGTGCATCAAGAGTGAGTGTTTAGTAGCAGTTAAAGCAGCATTCTTGAGTTGTCTTAAGTAGGTGCATGATCTTTTATGTTATCAAGCAGTAAGTTAATATATGCATTTGGAACAACAGTCGTATAGCAATCAATTTCAACTTCTAAACAACTTCTAAAAGACGTGCTTGTGGAAGGCATGTTGTCTTAAGCATGGGAATTGTCTTCATTTTGTCACAGAGTGAACTTTTGCTCTCTCTTTTCCTCTTTTTTTATAGGTCATTTAATGTGAGAAGGGCAACAACCAATGACCTATTTGGTGTCAAAATGCTCGTTAAAACCCTTAGCTTGAATGAAAGTATATTGAATGACTTAAAGATATTTACTCTGGCTCGCAGGGATCCAGTGAGTATTTGTTGCAAATACACTTACAAGTGAATGGATAAATACTGGTAAATACATCCAGAATTTATTACATTACTCTAAACTAGTATAGTATCTCTCTCTCTATATATAGTATATAGGTACTCAAGTCAGTACCAACAGTTGGTATAGGCTGTATTCAGCCTGACTTGATAGTTAATCTAACCTGTGGCCTGTACCAACTACCCTCTTCTTTGGAGACTCCTTAAATGCAGGGACAGAAGCAGGGTGGGTGCATTTTTTGGCCACCCACAGCCTGATTTGCATTGTTGCTTTTTCTTGCACGCACATCTTCTTGTGTGATGAACACGTACTTGTGTTTTGTCACATGATGCGGGGGCCTTTTTCTCCTTCCCATAATGTGGCCAGACATATGCCCATCGGACAGTAGGAAACATCTGCATTTTTGTTGTGTGATGGAAAATGCTGCATAGACAAAAAACCAAGCACTATCATTACCAATCCTACAGCTGTGGGGAAATCCATTTTATACAACTATTGATGGAGAATATCTGTTTTAATTAATGTTCTTTCCTAAGATCAGAACTTAACCCAGGACTAAATTATAGGCTGAGCCTGTAGCATTCCTGTAGCAGGTAGATCCGAACTGAAACTTTACTTCAGCAAAGTTCTACATGGTCGAGAGTCCAGCCATAGACACTGTTTAAACGTTATGGCTTGAGTTAAGGAAGAGTGGTTAAATTGGGGTAGCGTGTAGAATGTATACTGGGAGGAAAATATTTTAACTGTGATTGTGTGGTGAAATACAGAGTTATGATTAAAAAGAATGATTACTAATGAAATAGGAAACTTACATATGTTGCTTTTGCCTTGCAGGATGGGACCCCAGTGCAAGCTTTCATAGCAGAAGTTTTGGATCAAATAGTTGGCATTTCTGTTATTAGAGATGAAATGGTAAATTCTATTTCTGTGTTGTATGAAAACTGTAACGCTTAGCCCTCAACACTAAAGGCTGAGTTTCATGCTTGTCACTATACATGTACCTAACAGAAAGTATACGTAAAAGATACTGCTTCTATAAACTTTTTTTCTCTCTTTCCTGACACTATTATTTCCCCTCTCATAGATAATGATTGACACACAGATGACAAATATCCTGTTATTTGCAAGAAGCTGCTGATGTGTTCTGAAAGTATGCCTCCTACATCTCTTTTTGGTTCTTTAGCACAAAGCCATTCTGCCTCTAAATATGTTTGTAATCACTTATTTTGCCCCCTAACTTCAAAAATCAATAAGCAGTTTTGCCATGCATACTCCAAAGAGTAGTAGTTGTCCTTCTAGATTTGCTTTCTTAACTTTTTTCCCCAACAGTAGATCCTGAGTGATTATGAATCACACACTTAACTTCAAAACAAATAAAAAGCATATGCTGTAATGGAGTACAAAAAAAGACAATGTTGCACATTATTCTTGAAAAGTAAATGTTTTTTAAGGCTTGCTTTTGTGGCATTCTGCTGTTACTGAAAAGGTAGATTTTAGTGTTCAACAGCTGTAATGCTCAGTCCACAGTTGTAATGCTCAGTTTTTAAAATAAAGAGTAGTCACTCCTATTTTCAAAAATTAAGGTAAGAGGATTAGCAATTTCTCTTGTGTATAAATGTGCAAAAATCTTAGCTTATCACTTCAACAGGGAATACTTGTTGGAGGGCATTTCTTACACAGCTCTTCTCTGTAGAATTCCCCTTTTTCAGTTTAAGTATTGTGAGAGGACAGTCTAGGCTTCTCTGTCTTGAACTCAGCAAAACAGAGGGTTTTTTCCTCCCCCCCGCCGCCGGTGTCTATTAACCTGTATCAGACATTGTTGTTCAGTCAATGTGCTTTAATTGAGAATAACTCTCAAAGGCACTTAATTTCAGTGTTTGAATTTAGTTCCTTAATTGATAGAAAGCAACTCATTGGCACTTGCTAAAATATTGTAAATGTAGCTGTTTCATCACTGCTGAATTTCAGATTCTTATTTTCCAGGATATTGAGTATATTCGATCACATTACAACGTCGAAGATTTTATTCATTTTAATCACCACCATCAAGAGGAACATGGACATCTTTATCACTTTGCCTTAAATCCTATATTTCGTCACTATACAAAACACTTTTTAAAGGAGATTCTTCGCTTGGCCCACAAATCTGCTCTTTATTATCCTATTTATCCACAGTATGTGGAAGGCAAGGTAAGAAGAAAGTTATTTGTACGTTTTATATTAAGTATTGTCACCTTTGCTCACTTTATTTTTCTCTTTGCTTCTGTGTATGACTGTAAACAGGAATATTCTTAGCAACTTGCAGCAAATTGTACTTACTTTTCTTCTTGTGTGATATAATCTGCAATCAACATAGCTGTTGCGTAGTAGGGTTAGTCTGTAGCGCGCTCAGTAGTGCATGTGAGTCCAGACTTACCCAGTATCTTCAGGAAGCATGTGGAGGAGCTGAACTTTGAAGTGTACTTGGCCTTGGCTCTTTACCTAGTCTGGGAAGAGAGAGAAGCTCTTCCTAGGGGGTGGCTCCTTCTGACCTGAGTCATTCTTTGCAAATGTCTGTTTCTCAATTGAATTTAGAGAATCCTAGGGCAACTGTTCTCTAAATGTGGTTAGATGTCTTAAGTTACACACATTAGTACATTGCCCTGGGAGCAGCACAGTAGAGGAATAATTTGTTTGTTACCTCCTCACTTGTTTCTGAGAGAAGTATATCTGCTTCTTACCCAAGTGGGTTCATATATTGCTGTTGCCTTGTGCATCGTGTCAGCCCCCTCCATAAATGTGCTGTAGTTCTGACAGTCAAGTTTCTACCCTTTCCTGTCCATTCCCAATAGATTGGTTCTAGGATGAAGCAGCAAGCATCCCATATTCCCACTCCTGCCTAAGTAGGACCATGTGTCTGAATGGTAAGCTGTAGTTTGGGTTTGACTTCGTTTCTTGCCCGTGTGTTGGATGTATAGGTGAAGAAACAAGTAACTCGCAACTCATCAACTGAGGAGACCAACATAATGGGTTTTATTTAACTGCTTTTAACATGCTGATACACCTGGTATATCTTTGTCACTTGCAAATCAGTTACCGATCAGGTTTTAAAAGCCAAGGTATAAAGCACATATATTATCTTTATATTAAACAATGATTTGTATTTCCTGTCGTAGTTTAATAGAACCTGATCAAATTCCCACATACCTGTCCCACATACCGCCACTCAGCCGAACAATGAATTTTGAGAGGTACCAGTATTTGTTTGGATTCAGGACAAAGTGGAGGGCAAGGAAGAAAAAAGGAATGATGTCACTGGGCATAATGTAGCATGAGTAAATGCAAGGGGACAATAATAAAAACACATCCAGGTGGTTTATAAAAACTCTTCAAAAGTGATTTAGGTACTCTAGACTGTGTTTCATCAAAAGTCGGTGGGACCTAGGCACCTCATTGCCATTGAAAATGTGACTTGTGTTTCTGCAAGTGCCACAGGAGAACCATAAGAACTTAACGCTGTGTGAGAAAATCCATTTCCAAGAAGAACGTAATTTGTGGAAGCGAAATAAAAGATTCTTTCAAAAATAGTCATGTATATGTCTTGTCATCAGTCCCGTGTCAGAAAAGGGAAAACAAGGTAAAGTTTTCAGACATGTCAACTCATTGATGTGTAGCCATCTAAAGCTACGATCTGGCCCAGCCTAATCAGCTAGGCTCCTGCCAGCATTAATGAAGAAAACATGGTGCATCCAGAGGGCAGTTCATCCATCCATCATAACTCCCTATCTTGGGATGGAAAGAATTGCCCTCTGGAGACGCTCATCTCTAACTCGGGGGGATGTCTGCATGGCTAGCTAAAGTAAGCACCTAGCTTTTAGATGGTGACTGAGATGAATTCTGTCCGCAGTGACTTAGGTGTTTTTGAAATCGCCACTGTTTTTAACATAGGAATTTTGACAGGTTAGACATAGGTACATTTTCAGAAGGATGTTTTTTCCTGCTTCTCCAGTGTGCACTTTTGTGGAGTTAAGTGTTCTCTTGAGGAACCAATGTCCTTGTGTAGCATTAGGTTCTCAGATTCTTAAGAGGCACTTACAAAAATGCAGTTTAATGGCAGTGGATGGAAGAGAAAAGTTAAATCTTACTAATGATTCCAGCTTGGTCTATTTCCAGGCTACAGAGTTCCTTTAAGTTACTTAAACTAATCATTGCTTTCTAATCAGTGGTAAATGTGGTATTTTACTCAGTTCTCAACATAGTAACATCAAGTTTTTTCAATATTTGTGGATGGAACGGTGCTTCAGTGTAATTTAGTTTGCATTAATGTTCATTCTCTATTTCCTGTAATTTTCTCTTTTTTTTTTTCCTTTTATGTCATAAGTTATGACAGAGCCAGTCATGCTGTAAGAAATGGAATTTATTATAATATTCTATACATATAATATTCTATTTCTAATGATCCATGCTATTAGCATTAGCATTTTTGTTCACTTCAAGTTTATGCCAGTTTATTAACATTTATCACTTGCATGAAATTGACATTTTAGTTGGTATAGAATTTCTATATAAATTCATAACCATCCTTTGCCAAACAAGCAAAGGTTAGCAGTAAGCAGATAACATAGCTTAATGAGGTCAAATCAAGCTGATTCATGATCACTATGGAGAAAAATATCCTCCTGGGGAAAATACTTGTGCTGAAAAATCCCATAAACCAAACCACTTGTTTATCTGTCATTCCCACAGAGATAGTAATGTAATTACTCTCATAATTATCTTCATTAGTGTCAGGAATTATCTGCAATTCATTCCTCTGCTCTGAGTATGTTTGTTTATTTGCTGATTTTTCTCTCAGATTTAGCCAACAGAGCTAAGATTTTTTTTGTATTTGCAAAGCCGTACAACAGACATCTGTGATGCACTGTTCTGACATTCTCTCTGCTGAAATATAGATTGCTGTCTTTCAGTTTCAGAATCCCTGTGCCCATTCCCTGACATCTGCCCTTCATTACATGGTTCCCGTGCGACCAAGACGACAGATTGTCTATCCTCTGGAAGAGCTTGGCATAAATGCTCCATCAGAGCAGGTCTCCAAGGATCAGGTGGGTAACAGAAGCAGCAGCAGGCAAAAGGCATAGTGCCAGCTAATGCAGGGTTTGGCAGATGGGATGGCATTACCATCTTAGTGTTGATAGGTTGCTTCTTAATTACATTGAACATGGTGTCCATACCCTTACAATCCCAACTTTGCTTCTGCACAACCGTCACTTCTTCTAGGCTTGAATTTCAAACGCATTACAAACAGCAATCGCTAAGCTATAACATTTACATACTAAATGCTTACACTTTAACAATATTTTTTTATGACGTTACTTTCAAACTCCCAACACATTTTAAATGTTCTGATTTAGTGTTTAGCCCTTCTTCCTGGTAAGTTTTTTCAAGTATTATGCTCTGCAAGTGGAAGAAGACAATGTCATGCTTCGCGTTTCTGTAGAAATTGCTTAAGTCCATTTTATTTTTCAGTCCCAAAGTCAGGTTTCTTCCATGCACAAGATACCCTGAAAGAACACTTCGAAATATCAGGAATGATTTAACAGCAAAGGAAAAGATTGTTTTCACTACCGAGCAGTTCTTATTTGCATAGCACTCATGCAGTCCGGAGGTTCTAAACTAAAAGTCTCTTAAAATTTCATTTGTTAAAAAACTTACACCTTATTCTGTCTTACATTTTTAAGTAACTAAAACTTGATATGAAGATGGTTCCTCACAAGAGTAACTAGTGAAGCTGAAATATTAGGAAAAACACCATTAGTGATGGATACTCTCAGTAGGTAGCTGTAATTTCCTAAAGAAACGTAATTAGGGAGCTTTATGTCTGTCTACTAACTTCCAGTTGGCTGAGATGGGCTCCCATATAATATTTTTAGTGCTGTCCTTTTCACAGTTAGTCAGTAATTTTTGGCATCCAAAACTCTTAATTAGGCAGTAGTTGGCAAAGTAAAATCCAGAACATGGCTGAGGCCATTGATCTGAGTTTGGCTTTGTTGAACAGTCTTCCCTCAACATGCACATCCCTGCCTTCCTCTTCTCTGCAGAATAAACTATCTGATGCTTTTCTTTAAACTACTTCCTATTTTATCTTTAAAATGAACTGTTGCTCTCTTACCAGAAGAGCTCATTTTAGCATTTTTGTTGGAGCTGGAAAATCACAGACTTCCTGTGTTTGAGAGATTTGCAAATCTGTTGTCTGCTCTGTTCCCAGGTTCTTCCTGAGGATTTCTGCGAGTTGCAGGTAGTGAGATAATTGTTTAAAATCTCGACAGTTTTTATTAATTTCTATTTAGTAAAATGTGCAAGATCTTCACTAACAAAGTTTTGCTGAAAAAAAATGAAGGCTAGCCACTGTATAAGTATTCATGCATATGCGCTTGCATTGATTATAGATTTTTGACAGACTGTGTTCTATCAAAACTGACATCTGGGGTTGACCCCTAGGTAGTAACTTGAGGATAAAGCTAGTCCTCTACTGCTGCCTGTAGTTTTCTGAAATACCAAGAATTTGAAACCATACAAAGCTAAACTGACTCTTTTGTTGAGTGAATGAAATGACCTTTGGCCACCATACGTTGGGAAACCTTTGTAACTTAAGAGGTTACCTATCATAGGGGACTGAGTGTACTCGTGAAAGTAAGAAGCTGGTGCTGCTTTCAGATCTTGGATGTTTTGTTAGCTCTGGTAGTAGCCAGGCATAAGGCATTTGCCCTCTCTCTACTCTAATGTTTCAGAAAGAAAGATTGATCCCCATCAATAATCTTGCTCTTCCCTGCAAAATCCTGCAGCTAAGTTGCAAATAAAATGAGGTGTATTTTATAAATTAATATAATCAAATTTCAGTAGGCAAAAAATTATTATACTTCTACCTTTTTGTAGTGATCAAAAGGCCTGCTCAGACACTGTAAACAGAAAGACACAATCCACGTTGCAAAGAGCAAAATATCCCACCAAGGAGTTAAATGTGACAACTCTGCAGAAGGGAAAGGTTGAGAATTGTCACCTTTAAAAATACTGCGAGACGATGTGAGACACATTTTGGTCATAGAAGATGCTAGCAGGCTAGGAAGTGAGGTGAAAGGGAAATGGAAAAACAATGTCATAAGGAAAGGGTGGAGAAGAGAGGGAGAAAAGTGAAAGGCAGACAAAGAGGGTGGAGTAGGAATTAGTGGGAAGTTGTCGGAGGCAAGCACCTGGATAGCAGTAAGGAGAAAATGCCTGCTATGATCTTTGTTACAGTGGTTTTAAACAAGATAGGGGCAGGGTCTTGCAGGATCTTAGAAGTTTTGGGCAAGCAGGGGTTGCAAGTAGTTGAGACCGCTTCTCATTTCTTTATCACACTTCTCTATTCTAGCTCACCAAGCTTGTTTTAGCTGAGGGGGCTTTGCCTTCTCATATTAAAAAGCACTTCTTTCTGACATTAACCCATGCTCGCTTTGCTCCTGAAAGCTGGAGGATGGGTTATCGTTGTAATTCTTGTTCTAGCTATCTCTGCAATGGTGGCAGGACTTCTTTTTCACATAAACTACAATACAAAGACTGTAAATGCAAGTCAATTTCAGAAATGTAAAATTTTCATTTGACTGCCTGTCCTAATTAATTGCTTGAGTATCTGTCGCCTATGATGGAGATAATTGTAATGAAATTCTTGCTTTGATACCCACAAGATACCCCTTGATATCTAGCCATCAACATCTGCTTCTCATCTACTGCTTTTTCAGCTTTCTGCCTTCCTCTTGTTCTAGCCTTTTTTGAGCTATCACTCTCCTTTTCTTGCTGCAAAGTTTATTTTTCACCAGTAACAGCCTGGGGCTCAGCAGCTCAGCCATTCAGTGTCTAAGCACAGCTCTTGATTTGTGCATATATATCTCTGTAGGCCATTAGTGGCTTAGTATCTTAGAGTGCACAGTGGAAGCCCTGGGGCTCAATCAGTTTGTGTATCTCTTTAATACGTTCCAGCCTGCTTGTGAGCATGAAGAGATTCACTCATAAATATTGACCCAGTACAGATAACTCAGCCAGGACCCACAAGGACTCTTCCCCGTTTCCTTCCGCCAAAGCCAGAAGCGAAAACAGCAATCCAAATCAGAGAAGCTTTGCCCTCAGCTAATTCCCATGCGTTGCCAGTCCAGATGGATCTCGGCTGTGCTGGAGAGGTGGTTTTCCTGCAGGTCTGGATCAGTTGTTACAGACAGATGAGCACCAGAAATATTAAGTCTGTGGTAACTTGTTCTCGTTGTCCCTCTGTCAAATCTCTCTATTCTACTGCAGTGTCTGGAAAAATCAAAAAGGGGGAAACCCCATGCGCTGCCCTGCCATGGGCACCTGCCCTGCTCACTTCTGCTTCTAGCAGGCAGCATGAGCTGTATTTCGTGGTGTCTAAGAAAGCATAGGTCCTTTTTCCTGTAGTCTCTCTGGGAGAGCTAGATGTAAGGTAGAGAGATTTACTCTTAAAATCCAGAAATTTATCATATAAAAAGATAACTTACCATTACCTCAACGACTATTTAACTGCAGTTTTCCAGCCACCCTGTTCTCCCCATGTCCTTGTGATATTTCCCTTGGTTCAATATTGTTTCTAGTTTGAGCCAGGCTTTTGGTTTGTGTTGCCTCTTTGCTTACCGTTAAAATGACTATGACTCCGAAGAAATACAATGTTTAGGAACTCTACCTGTTCCTCCTCTCTGTTGCCCAGCCTTTTTATTAGAGCTTTGCATAGGTTTTAAGGCAACCACAAGTTTTTTCACTCTTTCTTAAACCACAACTCTGTGCTGCTTCGTCTCTGCATCAGAAGACCTGTCACTTCCCAAGCAGTGGCTCTCCATTTCCTAAAGGGCTGCAAATTCCTATGAATATAGTAACATCTTCCTATAACAGTCACTAATGACAGAGTATGTTTTTACCCCAGTCCTTGAGATGGCAAATACATTTTGCTGTTGGTTTTCTGTTCTGTTCCTACAAAACTCTATCTCCCATTGCTCTGCTGAAGAGATTTGGGTAAATCAGGTGAGGATTGACTGAGGAGGCCCAGAGGGGGAGGCATTAAACTCCCTTGTCTCCCATTGCAGCCCTCTGGAATGGCACAGATGCTAACGATCTTATTTGCATCTAGTCCTGGAAGTGCCCAGACTTCAGGATGCCTGTTCAGCCTGTGCCTCTGCAGCAAGCATATCGAGGTTCCACATATTAGCTCAAAATTGCATCAGGCCATACATCTGCCACGCTCTAGGGTTTCATGACACAGACCTGAAAAAGCTCCTGTCTGCTCATTAGATCAAACACTTTCTACAGCTGTTCCAAATCAAAAGGAAATCTCTGATTTTTGTATTCTGAATCAGTAACCAGTATTGAAGTGCCAATTGGCAGAAGATCCAAAGAGTCGAAATCTTAATTCCCACACTGTTAAAACAGATTAGGTTATTACTGTGTTTTGCACATCTGTCAGTCATTTCAGCCATGTTACATTAAAAAACAGTGGTTACAACAGAATACTAGATATCTTATAAAGTGCTGCTGGCCTTTACGGTGCATGTAATTATTGGTGGAGTAGAAAACTATAGATAATTAAATAATTTTTAATGATATCTTCATAAATAAACAATTTATAACTTGTTTGCTTTCTCACCATCTGGGAGCATTCTGTTACCCATCTGCTTCATGTAATTATCAATAAAAGGGAAGAATAGGTGATATAATTAACAAGAATAACTGATCCACAATGAAGAACAAAAATGTCACACATCTGTTGAATTATTTTCTTGTTTCTGCTCTTTCATTATTACTCATGCTATTGTTTTTTTTTTTTTTATTTCATGGCTGCATTCAAGCCGTCAGGTTTTATTGCACGGTTCAGAATTGTTTTTTCTGCTACAGCTCATAAAAAGAAGACAGAACAATTATTAAAGCATTGCAGAAGCTGATACAGTGTTGTATAAATTTATTTTTAAAAACCAACCAAACAAACCCAACAATTTCTCAGTTGATTTTGTGCTTCTCAAGTGATGCTACAGGTGCATTACAGGAAGTGTTTAAATTGGGACAAGAAGTA